ATTTTAAATTAAATTAAATTAAATTTGAGTGACAAATTTAAAGGGGTCTGAATACTTTCCGTACCCACCGTAAATGGTTGCTAAATGAACAATTCTTCAAAGGAATTAGCTTGACTCAATTTCACAACATTGTGACCTTAACTTTCTAAAAGTCCATCCATCCATCCATCCATCCATTTTCATCCGCTTATCCGTTTCCGGGTCGCGGGGGCAGCAGTCACCACCCAAATCACATTGCACCGTACCAAACCTTCCTGCGGGTGGTGAGTCCACTGGAAGGTACCAACCGTCCTAACCGGGATTCGAACTTGCCCAGGAGGTGAACCCTGGGGTTCCACACCAATGACACAGACATTGCCTCTGGGCCAAAGCGCCACTTTCTAAAAGTCATATTTAAATATTTGTAGGTCATCTCATACCAGACGTGGGCAAACTTTTTCACTCGTGGGCCACAATTGTCCTAAAATTGAACAGGGAGGCCGGGTTCAGGAGCAGATAGATGAAGCTAAGATAAAACACATGTAAAAGTCATGCATAAAGGCTAAAATGCTAAAATGCTTTTATGTGTTTTTACGCCCTCTATTGGTGAAATACGGGTATTGCAGGGAAACGTTTGGCAGGCCGGATTAAAAAGATGAACAGGCCGCATCCAACCCCCCGGGCCATAGTTTGCCCCTGCCTGTCTTACACCCTTCCAAGCACGATGGTAAAAAGTTGTTTACCCAATTACCAAAAGTATGGATCAGATCCACTGCACCACCGTTCAGGCTCAGGATGTTTTTATTTTTTACTTTAAGTGTGGTGGCCCTGAATCTCAAAATACAACAACATTACAGACGCAACGACATCAGAGAAAAAACATCGAAATTTCAGAAAACACTTTTCTGAAATGTCTTACTGCTCTCTGTAATGCTGTTGTTTTTCGGAAATTTTTTTTCCGGTATTTTCTGTAATGTTGATGATGACTGTATTAGCAAGTTAACGCCGCACTACTGGGTTGGTGCCTACCGGCCTCGTTGGCGCAGTAGGCAGCGCGTCAGTCTCATAATCTGAAGGTCGTGAGTTCGAGCCTCACACGTGGCAGTGATTTTGAGGCAGTGGTGGCTCAGTGGTTAAAGAAGCAAATTTGGGTCTAGAAGGTATAAGGTTCGAGTCCAACAGCTGCCAAGTTACCACTGAGGTGCTCTGAGCATGGCACCGTCCCCGCACACTGCTCCCCGGGTGTCGAAAGCCATGTCCACTGTTTTATTACTGCCATGTGTCTTCATTGACTGTATGAGTTGCTGCCACCTAGTGGCTGGAGGCTTCTTATCATTCAAGCGTTACAGCAGTGGTACACTTATTGTACTTGTACTAGTACTATATTCCATTAGAAGCCCCTCAAGTCCCAGGCACCTCATAGCGCCCCCACATGGGGGTCCGCCCCACTGTTTGAGAAGTACTGGCGTACTCTAACGTGTTACTCTCTTTGTCAAACTTATAAATCAACTATTTATTGGAGGTGAAAGAGAAAGAGAATGAAAAGAAAACGGACATGTTTGAACACTG